TTCCTATATCCATTTCTCTGTTCAGTTTGGAAGAATCTAGTGCAGAGCCACTAACTAGTACTTTCCATATCTAATTCACAAGCAGATCAAAATTAAACAACAACTAAGAGGCCCATCCGAAGGGCCTCCTCAAAGCAAAACTTCCAAGGAAAGCAACCTTAAGTCTCCCAGTAAGACAAGCTATTGAGTCGCATTTCTGTCCCAAACACCCCAGCTGACAGGTTGCTGGTAGCATCTAGGATTGCTGCCCAGAACAAGCTTGATGCATTGCAGAAACCTGAATTAAGAACAGGTTGCAAAGGAGGCGTTTAATCAACTCCAAGACGTTCACAAGTAGCCTGCAGCAAACAGTAGGGGAACCCCGGCTTCCCAGTAAAACTACTTGATTTCTCCTCCATGGGAAATGGAAAGGGTTCAAGTCATCAGCAACCAACTTCAGAGGCTTCCTACTGTGCTCCCAGCTCCAGGCAAATAAGGACATTGGTCCCTCCTATCTTCTTTATTTTGAGAGTGGTGCTTTCAGCTGAAGGCAGAAAAACTCCTATATCACCTCATTGCCATTTAAAGGAACTACAGAGTGTTCCTCACTTACATTTGGAATAGATGGAGGTTCAGAAACAAGTTCTTAACCGCCTCAGTCATTCCTATGAGAGGTAGTCTCAACCTTCAATTTAAAGGACTACGTGAAAGAGCAGTGCTCAAGATCTGTTGGACTAAAAACATTAAAAGAGAGGAAATTGTGAGGCACAACCTCCTTTATGAAGGCCCAGGATTCTGGCAGAAACTGACTGTGAAAATGACACTGCTAAAAGGGGCACCTCATGTTACGCAAACACAAGTTTTCCCACACATACACAAATACCTTGAAACATCAAAGGAAAATTTCCATGACAATTTCCTTTCTGCTGATTCTACTTTTCTGAGTTTGAATGGCATGAGAGAAATTAATTTTTGTCACAGCCTATTACTTTAAAACATCCTGTGTTTTTCATGACTGCTCTTTTTTTTTTTTTAATTGCCATATCCCCAACCCAGTGAAAGCATGAAAAAAATCAAACACTCCACATTGGTGAAATATTACAATAATATTCCAATAACTTTATTTTCCTTCAGAACATGGTGTCTTTTTAAAGCTTTACAGTATGATTTCTACTATTGTAATAGTTTTCAACCGCTAACAAACTAGAGAATTAGGATGCTTTTGATTTACGCTTTGAGAGATATTTTGTTGACAGTTACTAAATTCCAAATGTGCCTTGTAAAACTTGAAACCATAAAATCCCTAAAGTTCCCCCCTAAATTTTCTTGGTTTCAAACATGGCCTTGAGTACTCCATTTCTGCTTTACATTAAAATAGTTTTAATAAAATGCAGAAGCATACTTTTAAACACTTCTAGAAAAAAAAAAATCAAAGTTTTCACAAAGTACAGACATGTAGGGATATTTCTCCTAGTCAAAATTTACCTGAAACTGGCATTGTATTTAGGAAAGAAATAAAGGTATTTTAACAGATTCTATATTACAAATGTAGGGTATAATTAAATGCCTATTTGGGAAAGAAAGTACCATCCTTTTTCTCCTTTCATCACTGAAGAGTAAACCCTTAGGGTGGCACAGGGTGCTTTGTGTTTGTTATGATAATAGATGTAAAGCAAGTGGCCTCTCTGGAGACAAACAATCTTCTACGTAGAAATCCAGATGCTCTCAAGTCCTTGGTGGTTAACAGCACCCTTTCCTTTGCATTCTGCATTCACTATTACATATGCCATTATGTTCATCTGCATTTTAAATATATGAAGTATCTTCATATTCTCCTCCTTTGCCACATTTTGGCACTTTTTTTTTTCTATGAGATTTTGTTCTGCTTATACACAAATAATTTGCAGTGCAGATAAATGCTTCATAATGTTATAAATAGAAATTTAATGATTCAATAAATGCTCTTCCTCATCTTAATTAATGAATTATTACTGCACTATCAATTAAAAAAATTGAGCCTCCAAAGGTATGGTAGCATAAGTACTTACAGAGCACTCCAACCATGTATATCTAATCTTAAAATATTTAATAGAAGACACACATATGTATATCGTAAAAAAGGTTCATGAATTTCTATGTACAGCAAGGCTTTCATTCTTCTTTGTATGAATGTGAGCAGAGATAGGATCAAGTTATTATTCATGATTTAAAGTGGGTAAAAGCCTGTTTAGCCCATTGTAAATATGCAGTGCCTGAGTGTGATCAGAATGAAAAATGCTACAGGCTGTTTAATTATTTTTAAACATCTCCTCTTCCTCTGCCTCTTGGCAATAGACAGCCTGTTAATAATAATATTTTGCATTTGACAAAAGTCATCTGGCAATTGTGGAGATGAGTGATTTGGGTTTTGAAGTCCTTGATAGATAGATAGTTGCATAACTTTCCACCTCTGACCATGGCCCTTTGCATTATGCATGCTTTGTTATTCATAACATTAGTCTCAGAAAAAAATAATGGACAGTTTTCTCTGTTCTGAATGAAGCATTAGGCTGAAAACAGTAGCTCTTTTTCCCTCAAACTGGAAGATTTACATTAGTCTTGCATAGTGTATTAGACATTAGTCTCGCTTACATCAGTTACTTCATACGCACACACTAAATCAGCACTTCAGTTGTATTAAACAGCTTTGCTTTAATACCCAAATTAGCATAACAGTTGTGAATTTTCAGACTTCATCCTCGTTCATTTGGTTGAACTACAAGGAAACCATATTTCCCTCTGTAATCACCACTTCTAATTAATTTTTCCAACTACCCTTTTACAGTTTCAAGTAAGTAAATTTGTCAATCAGGAGCCAGAATCATAAAAATACAACCTGCAGATTTCAAGTTTGATTGCTGCATTCAGATTTTACCAATGCACTAACGAAAATAATTTAAGAGGTAATGTCAAGGTTGCTTTAATACTTACAAGGCTCCGAACTCGAAGTCACTACTGATGAACTCTTCCAGCATACTAGTGTCTACCGTAGGGTTCTCCAAGGCTCCATGTACATCTTGCCCTAAATTTAAAAATGTGAAAAAGACTGAAATACTGTGAAATTTGGACGGAGCCAGCGATACTTTGGACTAAGGAACGCTGCCCCCTGCATCCCTACGCAGGTGAACATCTCATGTGTAACAGATGAGTTACGCTTGCGTTCGGAAACCTAGTTACTGTAACAGAAAATGCAGGGTGAAAAAGGGC